ATGAGGACACGGAATAAACAGCCAAAAGGAACAACACCTTATTGCCAGGACTGTGTTACCATGAGAAGTACCTTATTGCTACATCGCTGCTGAGTGGTGTGTGACCTCTTTCTTAAAATTGCCCTGGTGCCAGAGGACTGACTGCAAGGTTGCTAGTGTGATGACAGCTTTTAAAAAAGGGTTTCTAGGTAGGGAATTACAAGTCTGTAAACATAAATCTCAACCAGGCAATCGGTAGAAACTGTAATAAAGAGCAGAATTAGTAGGCACCAGACACCCTGAGAAAGAACCATTGGCTGTTCTGTAAAGGCAGGTAATGCCCCATAGCAGGATTTCTTTGAAGGCGCCAGTAGCAAGGATAACATGATGCAGTCTGCTCATGTTTCCAGAAAGCATTAAGAAAATGCCCTTCCAAAAGCTCTTGAAAGAAACTAAGTAATCGAGGATAGGGGAGGTCTTCACATGGGTCAATAAGTGATTAGAAGAAAGGAAACAAGAAGAGGAGTTAAGTTGTGGTTTCTGCCAGGTAGAGAAGACCCCACTGGAGTATGCACGGTGGCTCCGTGGGGATCTGTACTTCAGAGTGCATTGAAAATCGCCTGAAAAAATGACCGTGTTTGCTGATGTTACTAAGCTAATCGAGGAGAGGAAGAGGAGGCGTGAAATCTGTGAAGAACTGCAGAAACTGAGTGGCAGCTGATAAAGTGGCAGAGGAAGCTCAGTTGGGGTAACGCAAAGCGATGCACATGGGAACCCCCTGCTTCCCTGGAAAATGCTGGGCTCTCACTTTCGGCAGTTGGACCCCAGGGCTGCAACACAAGTTTCTGTAGGAATGAGGTGAATGCTCAGCAGAAAATCCTTATTCTCCAAGAGGCTGGGTTAGACCTAAGGAAGCTTCAGAGGAGAGCGGTGCTGATGACTAAAGGTGTGGGACAGAATCAGCATGAGGATGAATAGGGCAGAGAGAGACTCCTCAGGCTGGAAAGGAGATGGCTGTAGAGGGCCATGATAGAAGTCTATGAGCTCCTGAGCGTCTGCAAGAGGGTGCTGAGTGATGGCTTGTTCTCTCCCGCTGCCACTACAACAAAATAGTATTTGGCAGGTGTAAACACAAGGAGAGGAGGTGGCTCCTCGTGCAGCCGGTCTTTAGCCTCAGGCATTTAGCCACAAGTAGGACAGGCTAAATTTGTCTGCGTTTTAAAGGGAACAGAAAAATCTACGGAAGAAAAACCTCAGCCGGGGCATTTTAAATAGAAAGTTAATACCTGACTCAGGAAGTTCCTGAGTGAAAATTGCTGAAGCCTGGGGAATGCCTGGGACAAGCTCGACCTGTTAGGCCTCCTCTGCGTGCCCCGTTTCCTGCTCGTTGCCGCCTGGCGCTGGGGGCACCGCACGGAGCGGGCTGCTGCTTGGGAAGCCGGCAGGGCCTGTTTCGACGTGTGCCATCTGGCATGGCGCGAGGCTGCGGCTGCCAGAGCCCAAATGTGCCCTTTTTTGTACCTGTCCTGGCACACCCAGGGCCTGGTTCCTCTGTCCTTAACATATTTATAGCCTGATTTGTGTTCAACAAAGGGCGCTGGCTGACTCACTGTAGAGCTATGAGAATTCATTGCTGCTGCATACCTGGATGCCTGGCTACGACAGCACAGAGCCGAGCGCTCTGGCAAAGGCAAGGGCAGCCGCTGGGGGATGCAGCGTTGCTCAGCTCCTTGGCTCACGGCCCGCTGGTGGCCTGTGCCTCCTTGTGCTCCATCGCCCCAATCCACCCCACTGCTCAGCACTCTCTCCCTTCCCGCAGCCCACCTCTTCCCTGTGAAGGCCACGCAGTCCGTGAACATCGCCGAGTCAGCCACCTTCTCTGCCAAAGTCCTCAAGAAGAAGGAGACGGATGTTATGTGGAAAAGAAATGGCAAGTGTCCTAGGAACCCCCCCAGGGAGGCCACACGGCCCATGGCGGCCACGAGGCCATCCCTAAGGCTCACTCCCATGCCATGGAGACCACCACAGCCCCTCTGCCCCTTGCAGGTACCTACTACCAGACCACAGACCGGGGCGAGGTGCGGGACAATGTCTTCAAGCTGACACTGCCCAATGTGAGCGTGAGTGAGAACGGTGTCTATAGCGCCACTTTTATGGGAGACAGCCCAGTGTGGAGTGCCTTCTACAGACTCATTGTCAGAGGTGAGAGGGGCTGCGGGTGGCAAGGGACAGCCCCTGGGCTCCCCCGCTGCCCCAGGGGCCCTGGGGCCAGGGCTGCGGTGGAGCACAGCGGAGGAGGAGGCACTGGGGCAATGGAGGTGCCCGTGGAGCTGGTGGGAGTGACAGGGAGGGCGAGGGATTGGGGGCAGCAAAGTGCGGGCCAATGGATTTGACATCCCCGCTCTCTCTGCAGCGTGTGCCGCAAAGAAATGGGGGCCCTCCTGCGAGAAGGACTGTCCTGACTGCCTGAACGGGGGCGTCTGCCACGACCACGTCGGCGAATGCATCTGCCCCCCAGGCTTCATGGGCACTCGCTGTGAGAGAGGTAGGGTGTCCGGCTGCACTTGGGAACCACCTCTAGAAACTCCACATACCTCCTTAGCCCCAGTGCCCCTGTTTCTGGAGCAGGGCTGGGGCCATCCCTCTTCCCTGCATGACAAGGCTAAGAGGGCCAATGAGGGGGCTGCTTGTGTGTTTGGGACAGTTTTGTGGAGCCCTGGACACCAAGCTGGGGCCCTGCCCCTGCAAAAGCAGTGCCCAGGAGGAGGGTGAGTGTATTTGGGAGGGGAGCTCAGCAAACAGCTGGTGAGGGCAGACATTATTCCTGTTTTTCAGCCTGCCGGGAAGGCCAGTTTGGCCGTAACTGCCAGGAGACATGCCAGAGAGCCCAGGGCTGCAGAGGGCTCAGCTTCTGCCTTCCAGACCCCTACGGCTGCTCCTGTGCCTCTGGGTGGAGTGGCTCCCGTTGCAACCAAGGTACTGGGACGTGGGTTATCTGTCTGCCCACCTTTGCCCGCAAGAGGCAGCTCTCCAGCCAGCTGGTCCAGTACAGGGGCAGCCCATCTTTTCTGTCTGCAGAAGTCCAGGGCTTCCCTCAGGACACAGTTCTGTTCTCCAACAGCAGCAGCACCCATGCAGATCTCTCACAGTCTTGCCTGCTGTCACGTCAAGCTGGTTTTATCACCACTTGCCAGGTCTCTCCCCATCCTGTCCCTCAGCTGAGATGAACAGTGGTCCCCATGGTGCAGGGCAAAAAACCCCATAGCACGCTCACCTCTCCTTTCACCCTGGGTGCTGCCTATAGCACCCCACTGACAGCTTTGGGAATAAGGGTTGTCCCTGGTCACAGGACCATGTCACCCTCTCCATTGCTGCTCTCCCTCCTGCTTGGCAGCCAGGATCTGCATCCAGGTGCATGTACCAGCCGCCTGCGGTCTCTGCCTCCCAGCAGGCTGGAGGGCAGGTACTGCTCTGGGCCATCCCAGCAGTGACCTGCACTGCGGCTGGGGGTAACAGTGAGCTCTCCTTTTCCCTCAGCCTGTTCCCCGGGGTTCTACGGCCCGGACTGCGCCCTCCGGTGCTCCTGCCGAAACGGAGGCAGCTGTAACCGCTTCAGTGGCTGCTTGTGCCCGTCAGGCTGGCATGGACGGTACTGTGAGAAGTCAGGTGAGGTGCTGCCTGCCTAGCCAAAAGTTGTGGCCATGTGCCTGAGACTGGGGACTGGCTCTCCGGGAAATCTCCCACAGCTGGGGAGGAGCAGGGTCTGCTCTAATGCTACCTTACCTGTGCCAGATCGGTTCCCCCAGATCATCAGACTGGCCTCAGAGCTGGAGTTCAACCTGGGCTCAGAGCCCGTGATCAGCTGTGTAGCCACTGGGAAGCCACTACCTGCAAGTGACAGCGTAGAGATGCGCAAGGCTGATGGCACCGTGCTCAAGGTACCACCTTCATGCCAGGCACCATGCTCCCACCATCCCCACCCTGTTCCACTGGCTCCACTTTCACCCAGCATGCTGCTCTCTTCACCCCACCACGAACCCTGAGCAATGGGCCTCATCCCACATTCCAGGCTTCCCCAAAGGCACTCATCTCCCGTCTGATCTTGGCTGTTTCCATGGCTGATGAGTTAAAATTTGCAAGCGCTGGCATGGGGAGCAGGGCATGGGCTCTCACCGGGCCCAAGATGGGCTAACAGCACCCTCTGTGCCCACAGCTGATCAAAGCCATCATTGAGCCAGGGCAGATCACGTGTGAGTTCCAGGTGCTGAGCTTGACCAAGGCCGACGCAGGGCTCTGGGAGTGCAGAGTCTCCACAACCGGGGGACAGGACAGTCGGAAGGTCAAAGTCAACGTCAGAGGTGAGGGAAGGGCAGCAGCCAGAGTGGGACAACCTGGGGACACTGCAGGAGGCTGGTGACATGGTGAGGGCATGCTAATCTGCACATGAGCAGGGGAAAGGCCCCAGCTGCCTTTGGGCTGGATACTGATGGGCAGTGATCTGTGTCATGATGCCAGCAGATGGGTTTGAGTGCTGAAAAAAACTTCAGGGGTTTCTCCTTCCCAGACAAAGCTGGAGGGAGTCGGGACATGGTGGGTATTCCCTGTTTGCTCCCAGTCCCACTGGCTCTGTTCCCTCCTTTGCCCCCAGTGCCGCCCACACCCCTGACTCCACCTCGGCTGTTGGCCAAGCAGAGCCGGCAGCTCGTGGTGTCACCTGTGGATTGCTTCTCTGGTGATGGGCCCATCATCTCCATCAAGCTGCTCTACAAGCCCAAGGATGACACCTCCGTGTGGTCATCTATTGTGGGTATGTGTCCACCAGGGACTGAGAGGGCACAGAGAGGACCTGGGTGGGAGGGAATGGCTGTCCCATGGTGATTCCTTTGGTATCACCTGGTTTAGGTAAGACAGAGCAGAGAAAGCCCAAGGTTGTCATTGCAGACTGCGCCCACAAACTGGTTATCCTGAAAGAGCAGGAAGAACCAGCAGGCACTGATACTGCTTGGAGGCCACCTGGCCTCGTCACCTGGCTACTGGCATAGAGATCCCTGCCTGAGCATGCTTGCCTGGGCTCCAAAAGTCCTGCAGCAACATCAGATACCTCTGTGGGATCCTAGAGGGGTCAGTGTGGGGTCTCAGTAACCCAGCTTATTGACATGGGCAGAGGTCTCCATCCTGCTCATAAGGAGCTCCTGGGGTGATACTGAGGAGGACACTCATGGCAGGGCAGATTGTGGACTGGAGGTGTTGCTTTGACACATCTTCTTGGCCTACAGTTGACAACAGTGAGAACATCACCCTCATGAACCTCCGGCCAGTGACCGCCTATGTCGTCAAGGTGCAGCTGACCCGGCCAGGGGACAATGGGGAGGAGGCCATCATGGTGACGGAATGCATAGGTAAGCCCCCTCTTTCCGTAAATCTAACCCTAAGCCTCATCTGAACTTCCTGACAAGCTCCTCCCCGATGTGGCCAGTGGGAGTGGGGGCAGCATGTAGCCAGGGAAAGCAACGTGGTGCAGGGCTGAAAGCCTTCACAGCCTGAAAAGTGCCAAGGGATGAGTTTTTGCTGCCTCTTTGTTCACAGAGCCCACAGTGAAACCTGTGATTGAAGGTTGGTCAATAGAGGAGAAAAATACACTTCATGTGAACTGGAAATTGCCACATAACCACGAGCCAGCACATGGGTTCATCGTCCATCTTTTTGACTCTGCAAGGAGGCTGATCTGTGAGAAAAACATCACGTCCATATCTGTGCTGTCTGCTCGCATTGCGGATCTGGAATTCAACACAGAGTACAGCCTGGAGGTGCTGGTGTACCACTGCACGAGCCTGGGCCCCCCCTCAGACCTCTACAAGGTCATGATAAACAGCAAAGGTAGGCACTGCAGGACGTGCACATCCCCCAGCACAGGCCAGGCTGGTGCGGCTCAGGGCATGGCAACATTTATCCCAAAACACAGTGGGCTTCAGCAGAGCAGTCTCCTACTCGTAACCCACAGAGAAAGGGGAAGGCCCTGGAAAGTGAGAGGAGATCAAGTACCACACCAATCTTTAGAAAGGGAAGGGAAGAATACAGAGAATTACAATGATAAATCAATTGCAAATATAACAGCAACCACCCTGAGGCAGGCCACAGGTAGAGCTACTCCTGCATCCCATCTCTGATAGAGCATGAGATGTTGCTTGAGGAAAGATAAAGGTGCATGTCAAAAAGAGTCCTCATTTCTTCACTAGGCCTTGCAGCCTGCAGCACCAAGGAGCTTGGAAACATCCTAAACTCTGTGTTACCTCTAGTCTCTCAAGAGTGTTGCTCACAAGTAGACCTGTCGACCATGTACTTGTCTGAGCCCTGTTTGAACTATCTATGTCTCTGGGCTTTACAACATCCTGTAGCAACAAGTCCTTAATATAATTACACATTGTGTGAAAAATGATTTCCTTTCATTTGTTTTAATCCTGATGCCTGATAATTTCA